CATTTTGGTGAAGCGGGCAGGGTTTTGGGAGGCCAAAAATGCTGGATTCAGTGTATAAAATGCATCCAGATTTTCACCTTCTTTTCTGAGGGAAAAAGGTAAGTCTTATACTCTGAAAAATACAGTAATCCTTTTATAAGGCTACATTGACAGCATCATTCAAGTCTGAAACAGGAGTGGATTCTGGCTGGCACTACTGTTGGTTTGCTTGTGTGCACACTTTGTATGTGTACGCTTGATGCACACTGTGTGCACATGCGCAATCCAATATAAATTGTTCTGCGCATACACAGAACTGAAAACCAATATGGTGGCGGCGATGGCCAGGGAACCAATTCGGTGGCGTGACAGACCTGGGTCGCTGCCCATTCCAGCGACCCAGGTTGCAAGACCACTACTGGTTCGGACGAACCAGTCCCAACTAGTAGGAACCCATCACCGGTCTGAAATTTCAATTTCCCCCCATCTCCTTTACAGCCCAAGAAACTAGGGAGGGTCTCTCCTGAGTCTCTTTCTCTGCCTATCATGTAACTGTGGGTTTTTCTGACTCTTACCTGACAATTCTCTCTGCAATATCTCTTTGCTTGGTCTCCCAGGTCTTTCCCACCTCCCCACCTTTACATCACCAGAATGCCCTATATTTTTACACTAACAAGGCAAAAGTTTAGTCTTCAGCATAAGGACATTTTTTTCACAAATGACTATTAGGTTGTAGACTGCAACCTTCTTTCTAAAAAAAAAAGTACTTTTATGGTATCTTCTGCAACATGTTGGAAATAAGGCAGGTAAACTTGGATAGAATATAACTTGTGTAATCTCATAATACAACAACTCTTTGGAAAACCAGTTTATTGGAAAGATGGTAAAATGTCTCATTTAACTAGAAAGGGATAAATGAACAATGTAATCCATCAACATGACTGACTGAATATACAAGATATATATGTGTGTTTGTGAGCCCTCTAGTGGCAAGAAAAATATGTGGAGTTAACTCGGTGTTGCTCTGAGGTAATTTCTTCACCAGTGATTTATAACAACTTACTATGCTGGTATAAGAATTTTCTAGTCCTTCACAAATTTTGACTAGGCTCTAAGCTCGTGTTGACTAGACAAGCATTTGACACAAGTCTCTGTTTCAAAGCCAAAGACCCAGCACTGTCCAAAGATGTCTCTGTGGTCATTTGGCCGGCATGACTAAACACCACAGGCACACGGAACGCTGTTACCTTCCACCAAAGGTGGTTCCTATTTATCTACTTGCATTTTAACATGCTTTCAAACTGCTAGGTTGGCAGAAGCTGGGACAAGTAATGTGAGCTGACTCCTATGGAAATATAGAAAGAGAAATGGCTATATCCACTGAGGGATCCACATAAGAGAAGGACTTCAAGAAAATCAAGATGGTGATTGTGTCTCAATTATCAAACCCACTTCTCTTTTTTATATGCCTTGTAGCACGACACATGTAAAAACGTGTAGCGCTTCAGCTGTGCACTCACAGCCACCATCCTGCCTTTTTAAGTCCCCTCTGCAGATGCCCCTGGACCCACAGGTAACCAAATTAAGCAAATTAGCAATGATCTCTCCATCCCATTTTATTGAACATGAAGCCAATGGACTAGAAAGCCTAGAAGGAGCTTGCCGCATTGTATTCATAAGGTAGAGAAGGAAAATGCCATAATCTCTGAAACAAATTCGCCCATTTTCATTCAGCTGCCGACCCAGTGAAACTGGCATAATGTGTTCTCTGTAAATGGAGGCACTAACTGCATAGGAAGGCATTTTACAGGAAACTTTTTTTGGGGAAAAACAGCAACCTTAAACTAGCCAAGTAAATAGATGTAGCAGCATGATCCCGGATGGACATGATGGCAAATCTGGTCTTTAAATGACCAGCATAAAACTTTTTGAATGGTTACAAGCATTCGTACGTATATGCTCCAAATTGATAACAGACTTGGCGGTATAGCACTGCTTGCTTTATTGAAGCCCTTTTGAGCTACATTATATAATGTATCGACAGCATGGAAATTTCATGAATATAACTAGACACCAACTTTTTCTAGGAAGATATAGAGAGGAGACTGTAAAGATGCTATAATGCTTGATTTTCTAATGGCTATGAAACAGTGACGTGCAGTGAGGTTGATACCTGGTGAGGCTCAGCAGGGCAGTGGTCGGCCTCGGCGGGGGGGGGGGGAATTTGTATCGCGGGAGCAACCAAGCGCCCGGGTCTGCAGCAAAGGCGCTTGGTGGCTCCCGCGATGCAAAGTGCCCCGCTGCCCCCCCCCCCGCTGTCCTGGCCTGCATCCGCTGCTTCTCCAAGCTCTGCCGCTGGAAGTCCCGGATCGCCTCTGGGGGAAGGCTGAGTGAAAAACGGAGTGAAGCTTCTCTGCAGCCTCCCGGCGCTGCCCAGAGGCTCTTGCAGGAGCACGTGTCAGTGGCCGGTGGCCGGTGGCCTGGAGCGGCCCCGGCTGTGAGACAAGGGAGCACTTAAAGTAGCCGCTGCCGCCACCACCGCCCCGCCGGGCGAAGGAGGGGCAGTGGCTGTGGCGGCAGCTTCTCACCCAGCCTTCCCCCAGAGGCGATCTGGGACTTCCAGTGGCGGAGCTTGGAGAAGCAGCAGACGCAGGCCGGGACAGTGGGGGGGGGGGCAGCGGGGCACTTTGCATCGCGGGAGCCACCAAGCGCCTTTGCTGCAGACCCGGGCGCTTGGTTGCTCCCGCGATACAAATTCCCCCCCCCCCCCCCCCGCGCGCCCCCCCCCCCCCCCCCCCCCCCCCCCCCC